AAGATTACATATAGTGAAAAGGGATGATCAGGAATGGGTTCCCTCACAAGCATACTAAAATAGTCTAAGAATATCAAAGACAAAATACACAATGACAATAATATACTCAATGGCCTGAAGAATATGTGTGTTCATTCAAATAACGGTTTTTCTATGAATTAACTAGAACACAGTCCATTTCTACTCTGCTTTTCCTTGGGACATGCAGGGATTTTCCCTGCTTTACATACTTTTGGCCAATAAACCCAGTGATATCAGCGTTGGTTGCCATGCAACAAAGAGGCCTGTTCGACTTCCTGGGGTGTTACGCATTCCGGGGGGGAAGGGTTCATGGGTCCTCATATGGCTTGTTAACTGAGGTTACAGAGTATTTGTTATATAAAAAGAGAATATATAGTGTGTTGGATTGGTCCAGACGCTACAGTTACATACAGTACTGTATATACAATTTATCAGTAAGAGTGAGAATCACAGCTTTGTTTCAGAGAAGAGCAATGACATTTGTGACCCTGGAGCACAAAACCAGTCTTAAGTCGCTGGGGTATATTTGTAGCAATAGCCAAAAATACATTGTATGGGTAAAAATTATAGATTTTTCTTTTATGCCAAAAACCATTAGGATATTAAGTAAAGATCATGGTCCATGAAGATATTTTGTAAATTTCGTACTGTAAATATATTCAAACTTAATTTTTGATTAGTAATATGCATTGCTAAGCACTTCATTTGGACAAATTTAAAGGCGATTTTCTCAATATTTCGATTTTTTTGCACCCTCAGATTCCAGATTTTCAAATAGTTGTATCTCGATCAAATAGTGTCCTATCCTAACAAACCATAAATCAATGGAAAGCTCATGTATTCAGCTATCAGATGTTGTATAAATCTCAATTTCGAAAAATTTACCCTTATGACTGGTTTTGTGGTCCAGGGTGACATTTTACGATGTTTTTTTCTGTGGTTTTCAAGTGCAGTAAGTAATGTGCTCACCAACAGAATTAGACTGCTGCTTTTTACATAACACACTTTCAATTATGAATTACGACACTGATGGCAAAGCTTGGTTCATTGTACTGCTGGGTCAGATTGCTGTTTACTCACAAGCAAACCACTCCAGAATTTGTTTACAATCGAGCTGAGACCACATTTTTTTATTATTTTGGTGCAAATCCAAGCACAATTGCCATGTTCATATATGGCTAAGTAAACTGAACTATGAGAGAAAACAAGGCAGGTTCTAAAACAAATGTTCTAACCCTAACCCTTACTAACCCTTACTAAAACTGTAATTCGTGCTCTACATGTGAGGTCATTGTAAATCATGTTACTTTATATGTAGCATTCATTTTAATATAACATATTCCAGCACAGGCAGGTTTCGTATAGACTCACCGATTCCTTTTCTGCTGAATTGTACAGAAAAAGCTCTCCATATGGGGCAATGGGGGACAAGGTCCTTTGAAGTGATGCTGTAATTAACACAACAGGAATGAATCATTATGACAAAGCAGGTTGTGGTTATGTGGTTCGATTCTAGGAGGAGGGCAAAGGAGAAAGAGTAAGACAAAGAAAGAACGAGGCAAAAGAGAGAAAAGAACAAGCATAAAATGAGATCCCACACACTGTCCTTTAGCACAGCCAGCTTGGAAAATGTACCAAAGAGAGAGCAGCTTGGGTGACTGGTTGTCAAGGTGACAAATGACCACCATATCTCTGCGGAGACAGTAAGGGGCAGCATGAATTCCAGACTGTTCCCTCCGGACGGACACACACATAGATATATAGCTAATAGACAGGGCCCCCCGCTAGATAAGACCCTACTGTAGGGTGTTTGATCTAGACACCGCTATGTTATCTATGATAGAACTGTACTGTATTGTATCACATCTTAACCCAGTAGCAAAGGTGTCATTTCAGATTTGTGTCATCATTTATCTTTATCAAGATTTGACCTTCTAACTACAGATGATACGCTCACTCTCTCTTTCTCTCTCTCTGCCCTGTTTTATCCGTCTTCTACAAGAACCCATTTCAGGATAATTGTGTAAATCTCTCACTGAGCATTTTGGAAATGTTCGTGAGACACCACAGTCCTTTTTTGCCCCATTCTTTGCTGTCATCCTTAACTTGAAGGCCAAAATATTCTAAAACTGTTGATTAAACATTGATTTTTCTAATCGTATTTTCTGATCATCACATTGCAAACTAATTCCCTGTTCCCAGTACTTAAAACTTTTCCTCTAAAACTTCATCTACCTTCTATTACATTTTAGTCTCCAGAGAGTAAGAACAGAATTAGGTTGTAGATCTAGTAGATATAGACATTATTAAACCACTTTTACACCTGAGCTTGGTTTCTGACTTCAGTGTAACTCCCAATTCCCGACTACACACACACACATCTCGCTGAAACAATTTCCAAACTATTCCTCTAGGATGCTAAAAGCACCTTTCCTGCCACAATTACAAACACTGCGACGTGTTCGGAATGGGGACACAATGGAGCATTTCAAAGCCAAAGGCAGTTTCAAAGACACACACACAAGCAAGCTGCTGTAAGTTTGGCAAACTAGGCTTCTCCACATGCATGCATGAGGAGATAAGAGCATATTCCTCTGAGAGACTGCATCCCATTTTTTTAATGGCTCAATGACTCAATCACAAGAATAGAGACAAATCAGAACAAAAGATATAAACTGCTGAAGCTGAAATAAAGTGAAGCGCAGAGTACCTTTCTGACTGCCTGTGGGGCAGATGAGTCCCTCAGACTTTGTGAGATGGTCATTGTTGTTTGCCGCCACATTCCTGCACACATATTTGTAAGGAGAAAAATGTGAATGTTTTGTACATTTCTGATTGAATGGATAGAAAACAAACAACATTTTAAAGTCCCATTCAGTGACATCCAGGGTTTAAATTGGGTCGGGGCCGTCCAGGGCTGAGCCCCGGCACATAGACTCCAGAGCTCGACATTAACGCTTCATTAACGCCAGACAAGTAACCTGATTAAAACATCAATAACCAAAAATAACTAGGCAATCACCAAAACGCAAGTATTATTCTGATTTTATTACATTTAGAGTAAGTGGTGAATAGTGGATATAGCTGCTGTATAAAATGCATGTACTGACGGTATAAGGTTGCGCTGCTGAGGAGAGGCTCAAGCGGCCTCTCCAAGAGAAATTAAAACACACAACACAAAGAAACTCAGCATGCTGAGGTAAAAATTCAAAATGGAAAGTTTTTGTATTTAAAATACAGTTAGTCACACAACGTTTTCACCATCACGACTGTTCAATAGTTCAATAAACAGTTCAATAAGCAAGTACAATAATATTAGGTCGCTTACATTTTAGGTGCAGTATTGCAGACTGCTTTTGTTCTATTTCTTATGTGGTCTCTCAAAACACTTTAATTTGTCCACCAGCACTACCTAGCCTGTATAATGTGATATAGGAGGCATTATGTACTTTTTGTCATTTGTTTTTGGAAGTCATGAACACTTCCACCAGTGTCCTTTGCAATAGTGCAATAGTGAAAATGCTGAAGATAATGGAAACTATTTTCAAACATTTTTGTTTGAAAGTATGCATTAACAAATCAAATGTAAGATTTTCACTTTAGCCCTAGTATTCCACTTAAACGGATAGTTCACCCAAAAATGAAAATTCTGTCATCATTTACTCAATCAAACAGTTGGTGGTTGCCATTGACTTCCATAGTATTTTTTTTTCCTACTATGGAAGTCAATGGCAACCACCAACTGTTTGATTACCAGCAATCTTCAAAATATCTTATTTTGTGTTCAACATAAGAAAGCAACTCATACAGGTTTGGAACGACATGAGGGTGAGTAAATGATGACATAATTTTCATTTTTGGGTGAACTATCCCTTTAAGTCACACAACAAATGTGCATTTTTAACAGAACAAAAATTTTCTGGCACTGGTGGGTCATTTTTTCTTAATTTATTTTTTGTTTATGTTATTTACTTAAGTGGCGTAGACCATACTTGCAATTTGTCCTATTCATGTGACTATACTTGAATTTAACCTATCCAAGTACAGTCACGCACAGAGTAGGGCTGGGCAATATAGCTAAAAAATGTATCAACGATATAATTTTTCATATCGTTCGGTATAGATAATTATTTACATTTTTTATAATCTTTTTAAAACAAAGAGCAATAGAATTTTTTATTTTTTATTTAACCACTATATTTTAAAATTAACCCAATTTACTGAGAAAAACAACAAATATTTTTTGTTTTAACAATCAAACACAAAATAAAAATAAACAAATATCTAATTTCTAATGTTTTATATGCAGATTAAATAGGTCTTAAGGAAACTTTTGTCTTGTCTCCCAAGGCCACAGGAGGGCGCAATGAGCAAACTAATGCAGCGCATTTAAATTGTCAATGCAAGGAAGTAACTCTATAAAAAATGTGCATTACATCTAAATTAACTCATAAACATCAAATATAATTTTGCAAATTGCAGAAACAATTATGAACAAAACAGCATCATGTATTTATGCATTGCTTAATCCAAAGAGCCGAAGCGCCATTCACACAGATTGCATTTAAAAACATATGAGATGCAGTGAAAAGGAATAAACCTCCACAAATTCGTGACGCGTTTTCTAAAAGTTTAAACTGTTTTAACTTTGCATGACTTTCTATACATCTCTTGTGTGAGACACGAGTGCAGCAGTCATATTTGTTCGTCTAAAAAATGCGCTGAATATGCGTTCTGTGTGAATGGCTTGGTTTCGGTTTTAACCTAATCAAGATCTTCTCCGCATTGAGCTTCTGTTTTTCTCTAGTATTTCGAATGAATAACGCTGCAGCGGCGCGTCTCGTGGGCTAGACTAAGAAAACATTCAAATGCAACAACGTCACTTATATCATCACCGCATCTCACGCGCCACTGATGACGCTCCCTGACGCACACCTTACATTCAAATGTTTATTTTAAATTCAACTAATATTCATTCTTTATTTACAATCTCCTCATCATAGGCAGGCTCAGCACTCATTTCAGCATGTGTTCGTGTTTGTGTGTGCTGTCTGCCACTCATAACACGTGCCTATATCGTGCGCTATATCGAGCATTTTTTTCTATCGTTATCAAAGAAGGTGTACCGACGATAAATATCTATACCGTTTTATCGCCCAGGCCTAGCACAGAGCGCTGTTCATTCACTCCACCCACCTACATTTCTTGCCGGTACTGGGAATCGAGCAATTGACTTTCGGGTAACAATTCCATTTTGTAGTGAATGACTCTGTAGAGCATGCCATCAAGCTGAGTGCTGATTACCTTGATGCAGCACGATCAGAACACTCTGCAGGTGGTTGAGGCAGACCGGAAGCTAAGGCATTACCTACGGTTAAAGTGTCACACCCAAAGGTTGTGGGTTTGACTCTCAGTACTAGCAGGAAATGTAGGTGGGGAGTGTGAATGAACAGTGCTATATTCCACCCTCAATACCCACACTCAGCTTGATGCTATAAACTGCATAGTCATTCATGACAGAATGGTGCTGGCAGGGGGCCAATAATTAAAGAAAAGTAAAGAAATTTAAAAAATAAATAAAAAATGAGCAAGCCACCAAACCCCCAATTGCTCCCGGGCACCAAAAATGGCTGCCCACTGCTCCAGGTCCACAGTGTATGTGTGCACTTGGATGGTTTAAACTACTACTATGGATGGCTACACATCACATCACTTTCACTGTTGTACATTATGAAATTACAATGATTTTTCTCGTGAACCCGATATTGTGTATCGTCTCGTCTCGTGAGGTAAGTGTCGCGTCACCTATTTATGACATGCTGGCGTTCACCATGTCTGTGTTGCTGTGTCAGCAACCAAAAATATTTGATGCAAATTTATTTAAAAAAAAATTGATTTTAGGCCAAAACAAAATAGTTTTAGACGGATGAAATCATCGAGCCAAAACAGTTACTTTTAGTGCTGCTCTGTTGGCGCGATTTGTGTGTGTCAGCACCTATTTTGTGGGAAAGGTACAAAAGGGAAACATGGCAGCACTTTGAACACACTTTACCATGATCAAAAATGGCTCATTTAGCTCATTGCCAAAGAACTTTACTACAACCAGTTTAAATAATGAACTAAGAAAAATCACACCCCAAACAGCATATGGAGTTCAGTTACCCAATTACCTAAATTTAATTACCGAAACTTTATTTTTGGTTTCTGTGTTTGGCTAAATGAAAACTTTGATTTCTGTTAAAAAATAATAATAATTTCAATGCATCACTACTTACAAACAAATGAAAAACATATTTATAAATGTTTCATTCATTTACATATTTACTCACCAGTCATAAGGAGGTATGAAGGGATGTTCAGGGATCTCTGGTACAGGCCTGTGTCGTAGTTTATAGGAGCGGGTGGACCTCAGCTCAGACGGTTCCTTAATGAAGGTACACCGCTCATATATTTCATTTTCAACCATTTCTCCCTGAAACCCTACAGAAGCTCCTTCTGAGGAAAAGTCATCATTCTCATCTGGAATAGGTTCTTCTGAAAAGTTCTCCAGTGATTCGCTGCTGCCATGCTCAGAGGCGGAGCCTGAGCTGGAGGAAACAGTGTGACATGTAACACTAGGAAGTGTATGAGTAAGTGTAGCAGAACCAATGGCCATCCGCTCTGAATCAGCAATAGTCCCTGAAGGAAGAGTTTGCCTTGTCATCTGGATGTTACTGCCCTGAGAATACTGACAAGATGTTCCTCTCTGCTTAGCCTTGGGAAACACCTGTCTAGGTCTTGGGATCGGCTTTCTCCTCACTGGCACTTTACCTCCATCCACTTCCATCATCAGGGTCTCCAGGCTGCTTAGGATCCTCCGCCGGTGTCCTGTGGGAATATTGTCCATCTGGTAAAGCTTCTCCTCTGTTAGGCTCCTGAGGTCCTTAAAGCAATGGTAGCCAGCCCGGGCGAAGCTGGAGGCATATTGGGGCAGGTGCAGTCTGGTCAGCCACCAAGTAATTTCCTGGGCGGGCTCCATAGAAGAGTAGACACATGGGGTCTTCAGTGGTCATGAAGTCTACCATATGCCATTGGATGACAAGGTTACTCTGAGGCAAGTTGAAAAGATGTAGGAACACACCCTAGGGAGAATAAACTTGTGTTTGTGAATACTTTTCTTTGCATTAAACAAACAAACAAACAAGTTGGTGTTTAGGAGTTGAACAACAAAATGCCAAACTTATCCGATTTAAGTATGAATCGTCTTGACAAACTAATAAAATATGATACATTTGAAAGTTTTGTAGCATAAAAACCTGTCTGTATAGCATGGTATTTGCAGAGGTCACACATAGGAACACATACAGTACATAACATATAAGAATGGCATAACAAAATACACTAGTGCTTAGGATTAAGAGTTTATTGAGGTAAAAGTCATAGGTAATGGTTTGTTAATAACGAGAATTGGACCAACAGTTTTCAAAGATTCATAAGTTATAAAATACACCCTTTTATGAGCAACATAAGATCTGAATCTACAAAGAATTAGTCTTGCATAGCCAGACCTTCAGACTGACGGCAGAAGTTCTGAGAACCTTGGTCGCTTTGAATGGCCAAGGCCAGCCCAAGAGGCCATATGACTGGCAGTTAAAGCAACCAATCACATTTCGTTTTGTGCCGCGTCATGTACTGTATAGGGGCGCGGAAATGTTCCCACAATAACTGTGTAAAGCTCTTAGTTTACAGATATTTATGTTGCAAACTTTAAATATTCCACAGCGTTTAGTTGATCCTGATAAGCTCTCATCGTCACAGTTGTAAACACAACAGCTTTCTTCTTCCATGAGTGGGTTTGGCGTCACGGCATCTTTGTTTCCAGGCAGAATGTTAAAGAATGCAACACACACGTCTCCCAAAATCCTGTATAATTCAACCAATCCAATGATGACTTCAAAACTCCTGAAGAGTTTCCAATTTTGTGTGCGATGTGTGACTTGGTTGTTTCTCATCTGCAACACGAATCAACGCTAAAGGTCTGTTCACACCAAGACAAATATTTGGTTTGAAACTTTATTGCAATAAACATTCATTGAATGAACAGCATTTCATTTACACAAACATTTGCATGCGTCAACTGACCCCTTTTAGTCATGTACCCATAGACGCTGCTGTTATATAAAAATATGACTTGGTGGCACACACAAATAGACTATTTTGCTAAGCAACAGTGAATAGCAGAGGAAGAATCCGGGCTCAGCTCTAGTTTCTATACTCTTCTATTTGGTGCAACATTTCGAACAATAAGGCAATTACAACAAAAATATGTAACTGTTTATAGTTACCAGCTATTTTCTGTATTTTAAAAAATATTTTATTTTTTACAATAAAATCAGGATGGGAATGAGATGTAGATAGTGGTTATAAATATAAAACCCTTTCTTTTAAGACTGATTTGGTTTGTTGCTTCAAATGTTGAATCTGAGTATTCTATGTAGATTCAGACCTTATGTTACTCATAAAAGGGTGTATTTTAAAATGTATGACTTTGAAAATTCTATACAAAGTACAAAGTCGATGCAAGAACACTTTGTTGGAAGCAGAATTGATTAGTTATTTTTAAAGGCTCTCTAAAAAGCAATAAATCTTCTGCATCTTGTTCAGAATGGACTGCAGAAGCACTGATCCAAAGAACAACAAGAAGACTTTACATATCATCTCTGTTTCAGCTTCACTCATTACATAGTATCATGGATAGATCTCTGTGTTATTTTGCTAGTTTCTAGATCTCGGAATGGCTATAAGCACCAGTGTATTTTGTTATGCCATTCTTATAGGAAATGTATGAAAAGAGTAAGCGCGCCATCCTCAAATCTCAACACAACCAGCTATTGTAACTGACAATCACATTGCAAATGTCACCCTCAAATAGTTCTGCACATGATACAGCAGACAAAAATAGATTGGATTGTGTCTGTATAATCAGATAACTAGCCATCCACTGCCCAAAAAGATTTTTTGTCCCACTCACAAAGTAGATCCATTTTCTGCCATGTTATATATAGTTTGTATAATCACAGTATAAATGTATGAAGGTTGACAGGTGCAAAGGCATGATAAATGGCTAGCTGTCCACCGTGTTCTGTTCATATAGCATATATCAAATTCTCAAAATTTGCTTCTCACTCCTGTAAATTTCAGGTAGTCCCTTTTGGTTGTCTTTCATAACCAAATTATGCACAAGATAACCATGTTTATCACTCCAAACAAGACAATGGTATTTCACTGCTGTCTGAATGTACACATTTTGGCTATGTGAGCTATGTTGTGGTTTTTAGCTGTTTATTCTGAAATGAATTGAATATATTAAACACATAATAAAAATAAAGCACATTTCAGGATGATATGGATTTTTGACATTATTCCCATGACAACTGAGTAAATTCCCCTTTGAAACCCTAAGCTGCATTCCACATTAAAAATCAGTTAACATTTTCATAAGCATCTTTAATAATTCTTGTTCTTCCACTGTTTAAATAGAGTGACAGTAAACTTTATCAGTGATGTGAATATTATTTCCACAGTATTTAAAGAGCTCTTTCAGTACTCCTTGGTGCTCTCTGCTTCTCCTTTTCTCAGCAATACTTCTTCATTTAGCTAAAACAACAACACCGGTCTCAAATATAAATAATATACATACTCTGTGTAATTCCAAAGTCTTTCCAAAGTCAAAGTGGTATTTTGTTTTTTTAACTTATTGTATATATTGTAAATGTATTGTATATACAGTATACAATATTGCTGTGTCGCACCGCATCCAATGTAGACAGAATTAATGATTATATTAGCTTCTATTGTCTTTTGTCACATTGCAGTGTAGGTGTATGGTGTACGATCAACTGTTATGTCTGAGAACTGCAACACTTTTTTTTTTTTTTATAATATCTCTAGTCATTTTATCAATCCTGGACAAGTGTCTATCTGTAATATAAAGATTCCCTCAACATGACATTAGCAGCACATTATTAGCATACTTACATTAGGACCAGTCTTTCTCTTGCTTAAAAAGAAAAAATATATAAATGGATTCTATATACTGGAAATATGTATACTGGATAATATTAAATGAATATTTTTTCTTTGTCAAAATGATTTACATCCAGGTAAACATAGCAATAGATGTTAACGACAAGACAGCATAGCTTGCGTGTTCACATTGTTACATGGTCCTTTGCCTTTAAGCTTATAGTTTTCAGAATGAGAAATAGCTTAAGTTACAGAATAGGCTGCAGATATTAATATGGATATTTTAGGTGCTGTCAGAGTTGAGTGCTGCAACGGCAAGTCAATTTTAATAATCAAAAAATATTTCTAATTAATTGAATGCATAAAACTGTAACAATGTAATAAATTATTACATTTCACAATAATACTGCCATATGAAATGTGTTTAATTTTCCAGAAATTCTGTGCATTTAATTTTTTTCTGGTTTCTTTGTTTTATAATTCCATACAGATGTATTATAAAATATGGCAGTAATCAAATGAATACATAAAACTTTAACATTTTAATTCGTCTTTTAAAATGCAATAAACTGAAATTTGTATTTTTCTCATTTTTTGGCAAACAAAGTGCTGCACAAGAGAAGTTTACCGTGATGAACACTGATAAAAAACGGTGTGATATTATTGTTTTATAAACTGTATTATTATTGTTGTTGCTATTATTACTTAAATTGAGAAGTACATTCTACTGTACAACAGAAATATATTTATGTCATAATTTCTTCAAGTTAGACCAAACTTTTATTTTGTCAGATTTGCGTTATCCTAAGATAAACCAATGATAATATGAGGCACATTTCACAATTTATTATTGAAACCTATGTAAAAATGTCCTTATCCTTATTTGGATATAAACACATCAACAAGAAAAGAAATCCAAAAAGTAATAAAATGGAAATTAGATTACATTACTGCAATACAGTAATTAGGTTACTAAATATAGGCTACTTCAATAAAAACAGCTAATCTGTACCTAAACAATTAAAGTAACTCTACCAGACTAACTGCAAGGTATTGTTCAACGAGCATAAAAGGCTGCTTTTGTTCAGATCAGTTTAAGCCTTGTTTAACAAATCAGATTTTTCAGATCTGAAAATCTGTGTCTGGGTAACTGGCTAAAACATCACAGCTTTGGCACAAACCAATGCTTTCACAACCTCTAAACCTGCATTGACATGCATCAGAGTTTTACCAGTTCAGACACAGGCACATATATTTCATGAATTACAGAGTAGCACAGCATATCCTGCCAATGCAGCAATTCACTGGTTTCCTCCCTGAAATGAGTTACAGATCTGTTCCGTGACAGTCACAGACAGCAGGGAAAACAGCTATTTAATATGCAAATAATACAATCTAATTAACCATATAATTGTACATCGTAAGCACAAGAAAAGGCTTCTAATTTTTTTTTTAAGTAGATAAAAAGGGAGGAGAAAATACTTTCTATATCTGTTGTTTTGGCTGAAAATTCATCTGTCACTTGGCAGAAGCAGGCAAATTATTCAGATTATCCAGGCTGCATGACATGATTTCATCTCTGAAAAGCATGGAAAAAAATAACTATCCAAGGTAAAAGAATATTCAAATCAGACTACATTAAATACAGCAATGATAAACACGGTTTGTGTTCTGTGCAGTGAATTATTGTCTGATGAGAGCATGAATCTATCAAATCTCAAGAGACATTTATATACCTTTTTCCACAAGAAAGTAGCATCTTCATAGCATCACAGCAAATCGACAAAAACCATAAATCACACTTGTTCTTATGCATCAGGCCCGGACTGGTCATCGGGAGCACCGGGAGAATTCCCGGTGGCCTGGAGGCTGAAGTTGTTATTATTATTAATATTTTATATTTATGCCTTCTCAATGTGCTAAAGTGATCATTTCCTATTTTTTTAATTCGATAATAAATCGATAATAAATTATAAATTGGTTAGTCTTGACTGGCAGTGCTGCTCTATACGAATCAGCTCACGTGTGTTCCGCGCTTCCGTCAAACGATTCCGAACAGAACCAATGCGCGGGACTCAATGAAGGAGAGGAAGTGGCCAGAAGAAGCAGTGAAATG